TCTGTGTCCTCCCCAAAATTCATATGTTGAAATCCTAATGTCCAAGGATGAAACCCCATCCTCTTTCACTTCAGAAAACTGTACCTCCTCTTATTTTTCCTTTCCCAGATAATGGTAGGCTTCAGTGACCTAAACTAGAAGCCTGATATAAATAATCTCATTTATTTTCCCTTACTATCCCTCCAAAATCCATGCAAAAGATTTACTGATTCATTTCCTTGAGTGTTCACATCAATATTTCTCTCCATTTCCAAAGCTACTGCCTAAGCTTAGACTCTGTTCATCTTCATGTGACTTATACAACAGTCTCCTAACTGGTATCTCTGCCTCCTGTCTTGCCCAATTCATCCAACCTCTTTTTTATACTACCACTGAAGTACTCTTTTTAAAAAATGTGTTAATCTGATATCACCCTTCTATATAAACGCCTTAATGGCTCCTTGTTATCTGTATAACATCTAAACTCCTGAGCATGCAAACTCCATGATCACTTCATATTAAAGATCACTCCTTTCTCTCACCTTTTCTCCAGATTTTATCCACACAATACTAACTATAGTTTTTCAAATGTATCCAGCTATGTCATGCTTTTTTGTCTTTGTACCTGAATTGCGCTCCCTTATTTCACTTTGGTTATCTCTATTGTATTACTCACTAAACTGTACAGCTGTTATTTGGGTATATATTTATCTCTTCTATTAGAATAAAATCTCCTTAAGACCAGAGACCATTACTTATTTTTGGATTCCCAAAAAATAAAAGTGTCTGGTACACAGTAAGCATTCAATAAATGTTGCTGAATAAGTGCTCTGCAAAATGTCAAAATCATGAGCTCTGTATGAGTAAGATGTACTGCCGCATTTTAGTCCCTTCCACAATTCCCAAACCCCACATCCTCTGTCCTTTAATCCAGTAATGACAGACCCGCTATACCTTAATTTTATAGTCATCTCCTCCAGACACAAACAGTGGCTGCTGCTTATGGAAGTCAATGCCTCGGACTGGACCTGGAGAAGGTAGGCAATATATGTTAAAGAGAGCTATGTTTCCTAATCTCCAAGGTGATTCTTATTCAGGATTTTTCAGTTCTATCCCCTCCACATTATTTAATACTAAAGGAATTAATGTCAAACAAAGCTTAAACTACTCCAGAAGACAATAAATACTTCTATCTTTAACTTCCTCCTAGAAACTATTATCTTACCATCATGTTCATCAAACTTGTCAATGAGGGTGCACATCCGATAGTCCCATAACTGGATGACCCCATTGTGTAAACTGGTCAGGATCCAGGGTCTTTTGGGGTGAAAACTGAGCCCTGGGGGGAAAAACACCAGAGGATGATTCAATTAGCTAAGCAAGCCCCACAACACCACCTCCTGTCAATTCTGATAAGAAAAAGGACCAGCTTAGGTTAATTCTAGCTTCATTTATCCTTTCACTGGATCCTAGACACTGTGAATTTGTTATAAGGTGAGTGATTTTTGTTATATTGCTTTAAATATTGTTGGGCTTTGCTTTAGGATGTAATTAAGTTCCTTGGAATCAGTTAATCCTTTCAAAGCTTGCTTTTAAGTTTTATTAGCATAAATCCACAGCAGACTTTAGTGCAGGTCTAATTTGGCATGACTGTTAAGGCGATACCCTTTGGAGGTCTTTCTATGATGCCTTGTAGCATTAAGTCTTTCTGTCTTGGCTAGTAGAACACAAACTATTTCCAGCCCTGTGTGAGCTCCGGGAAGTGTTCTGCCTTTTCTCCAGTGGTTCTTTTCCAGGCTTTGGGTCCTTTCCTCACATGCATTAGTACTCAAGGCCTGACAGGATTCCCTGCAGAACTCATGTTCTCTGAGCACTTTCCCTTCTCCAGTGTTCTGCCCAGCAAATTCTAGCTGTTTTGGCTTCCCTGAGCTCTAAACTCTGTCCTCCTCAGTGAGAGCACAAAGCTCTTCCCCCTCTCTCTACTGCAGCCTGGAACTCTCTCCAGGTAGTAAACTAAAAACAATCGAAAGACTCATCTTGTTTATTTCCCTTCTCTCAAGAATCACTCTCCTGCAGTGCCTGTCATCCAATGTCTGAAATCCTTTGTTTTATACATTTTGTTCAGTTGTGTGGCTGTTTAAGGTGGGAAGGTAAACCTGATCTCTATTACTCCATCATGACTGGAAATGGAAGTTTAAGGAAGTAACAACTGCTAACAGTTTGGAGTGTATCCTTTCAAATTTTTAATGAAGACCGTATCACTTTCTGAAAATGAAGATAACAATGTTCTCCTGCAAACTTATTATTTAACTACACATCATGGATCTCACTACATTTAAATACATAGAAACAAAACCTCATTTTAACTGCAAGGTACAAATGCATCAACTTAATATTATTCTAATGATGGGCATTAAAGTTTTCCCCTCACACTTCTGTCTATCAGAAAACAGGGCCAAACTGAGAAATTTCTACACGTATAGCCTATTTGCATTATTACTGCTCTAGGCTAAGGACCCGGAAGTGGGATTGCTCAGAACAGGAGGGTATGTGCTGTGCATTTAAAGTTTTGGTAGATACTATTTGACTGCAAAAAGACTGTATAAATATACAGTCATGTCCTAGCTGGCTTTGCTCAGTGGTTAGAGCGTCAGCCTGTGGACTGAAGGGTCTTGGGTTCAATTCCAGCCAGGGGCACCTACCTCAGTTGCAGGCTCGATCCCCAGTCCTGGTTGGCATGAGTGTGGGAGGCAACCAATTGATGTGTTTCTCTCACATCAATGTTTCTCTCTCTCTCTCCCCCCCCCTTCCACTCTCTCTGAAAAGCAATGGAAAAAATATCCTCAGGTGAGGATTAAAAAAATAAAAAAATATACAGTCATTTTTAAAAGATATCCATTTTACACACGTTAACCAACATGGGGTGTTATCAGTTACTTGTTTTATTTTACTTACCCAAGACCAAAAAATAAAGGTATTCTCACCTTCTTTTTCTTTTTTACACTTCTTTCATTACTGGTGAGGTATATATTTTCTTTTTTAAAAATTTTATCAAGATTTAATTTTCTCCCTGTTTTTAAAATTAGTTTATATTCAATACTGTTTTGTATTAGTTTTAGGTGTACAATGAGGTGCATATTTTCATTTATTTGCTGAACATTTCTTTTTAAAAAAATATATCTTTATTGATTTCAGAGAGAGGGAGACAGAAACATCAATGATGAGAGAGTCATTGATCAGCTGCCTCCTGCATGCACCCTACTGGGGATCAAGACTAAAACCCGGGCATGTGCCCTGACCAGGAATCGAATCCAATCTCCTAGATCACAGGTCAGTGCTCAACTGTTGCACGACATTGGCCAGGCTGAACATTTCTTCTTCAAAACTGTCTATTCTTCACTTTTTTCCTTTATGATACATAGGAACAATCATTAATGGATATTAACTCTCAAATATTGTGACACCTTTTCCCCCCACTTTCCTTCTCTATTGCCCAATAAAAAATTAGGAGAACAGAAAATACAAGGATTATAAAGACCCATTTCAACCATGCCGGAATTTTTTTTTAATATATCTTTATTGATTTCAGAGCGAGGAAGGGAGAGGGGGAGAGAGAGAGATAAAACATCAGTGATGAGAGAGCCTCCACTGGGGATGGAGCCCACAACCCGGGCATGTGCCCTGACTGGGAATCGAACGGAGATCTCCTGGATCACAGGTCAATGCTCAATCACTGAGCCACGCCGGCTAGGTTATCCAGGAATTCTTAATGGTACTCGTCATGATCAGATTCCCACAAGATTTAGAAACTGCTCAGAATCTATTCTCACATTAAAAATGGCCTCTAGTTTTTTAGCCTGAGTCTATGACAGGCACTGCAATGAGCACCTTTCATATACTTTCTCATTTTAATTCTCTCTATAAGAAAATGTTAATTATTCACATTTTACAGATGAGGAAACAGAGTTAGAAAATGTTAAGTAAATCGCCCAAGGTAATGGATGTTTTGGTATTCCAAAGCAAGCCCATCTGACTCCAAAGGCCAAATTCCTAACCACTAAATATTCAAGGTACATATTTTTTCCCAACTTTCAGAAGACCTTATTTCTCTGCCTTTCCCATTTTAACACTCTAAGAGACTACTGCTAGAATTTCATTCATCTGCCCTCCACCCCATCCACTGATACTCAAACTCTAGGTTTGACATATTTAGAATATAAAGATGTCCAGTTAAATTTGAATTTCAGATAAACTACGAACAATACAAAAAATGCATTCATTGTTTATCTGGCGACCTTTTAAAAGTCCAACTTTACTGGGGTCACAGGCCTTTATGTCCTGTTTCCAGGCAGGAAATGAAAGCCAGTGGAGGCACTCGATGTTGATCTGCTGCAGCTCAGGCCTCAAGTGAGGTAGCCACTGCTCATCTCCGAAAAAGGTACTGACTTGGATACCAATGGCAGAGGTCGAGACTCAATTTCCCGGGACACTCCCTGCAACACGGTCATCAAAAAGTCAACAGGTACAGGGCCTTTGGGAGCTGAACACAGCCCAGGTGAGGAGGGGAAGGAAACGAACAGGGAACGGGCCTAAGGGACCTCCTGAAGTGTGGGGACCACGAACCGCAAGGACAAGCTAGAGAAGAGCGGGCTGGAGAACCGTCCGCCAGGGCGAACCTCCCTCTGGCCTACCTTCCTCTGGGTTCGTATCGGAGGCCGATTCGGCAGAAACGTCCACCCTCTTCCCCCGTGACAGCGCCACCCCTGACAGCCCCCGCGCTCCCCCTCTTCGACTCTACTACCTTTGACCCGCGCGCTTTTGGTCTCGAATTTGGTTAGCATCCTGCAGGCCTGCGGCTCCGACGTCCTCAGCCGAGCCCCGCCACTCCCCGCTGCCCTGCAGTTGCCTCCACGTCAGCCGCGGCTCCCGGAAGCTGCCCCCAACAGGAACTTCCGGTCTCTGGAACTCTGGGCTACCGAGACGGAGCCAGAGTGGGCCTAGAGAGGCCACCGCCGGACCCGGAGGAACGAAACTTCCGCTCCGCCGAGAGGCAAGATGGCCACGGCTGGGGGCGGCTCTGTGGCGGACCTGGGAAGTCGGGGTCTTCTTCGCCTTCTGTCCTTCTGCATCCTCCTGGCAGGTGAGGCCACCCCCACCCGTGAGCTCCACTCTAAGAGGAGAACCCTCCGGATCGGCCCAGCCGTGATCGCCGCCGTCTCCCTTTTGGTTCCCGCTACCCCTCTGTCCCCCCACCCCGTAAATCCTCTTTCTCTTTCGTTCCCCCGACAGAAGTTCCCCTTTACCTGGACCTGAAGGTCCCTTCCCCCCCGTGGCTCGTCGGATCCCCCCATTTCCTCCTGCCGGCCACCTGCTGGCCTCTCTCCCACTTTATCCGGATGCCTCCTTTTCCCCAGGGCCCCAGCCACCCCACCCACAATCTTAAAGGACAGGCAGGTATCAGTTTAGTTTCCTCCCCAACGCGTTTAGACATTTCAAGAGGAAAGCAGCCCCTTTCTGTGGGGACAGTGCAGCACTTCTTAGGAAAGTAGATTCCTCATTTCTTTCTCTGTTGATTCCACCATAAAACGCGTCCCTGTGCTTTGCCTCAGTTTGTCTCATCAGTAAAATGAGACAAAAGTGGGATGGATATGGGTACTCTTAACTGTTTAGACCGTGGAATAATTCAAGGAACATTAGGCATGTATAATGGTATTTGGCTTTCTAGTATGTCAAGCCTTAAAATACAATCATCCCTGTATATAACCATGACCATACCTTTCCCCAAATTCACATTGGTTTCAAAGATTCCCCAAAGGAGAAACTAGAGCCGCCTCACGCTATGAGCACACGTAAATCAGCTACTGATGACAGATTAACTGACAGGTGTGTGGCTTAAGTTTTTTCCCAATTCTGTTCAGACTCCTGGAAAAATGTCTCAGAAAGATTTTTAAAATTGCAATCTATATTTTTAGACTGGAACCCTTTCTATTAACTAATTTGTAATATACATACAGACTAGAAAAGTAGAAGTGTGGTCACCCATGCAACCAGAAGCTGATGCATCTGAGGTTAACTGCCTTTTCTTTGACAAGTGAAGTTTTCTCTCTCTTAGCTTCATTGTCAGTTGCTCTATGTAGAATTTGTAATAGCCCTCTGAAGAACATAGCTGGGTGCGTTTATGTGTTCCAATAATGTGCCCAAGAAGTGAGAAGAATGGACATTAGTCCCATTTCAGAAAGTATGTTATACCCAAGCCATACAATGAGCTAATGACAGGACGGAGGCTAGTACTATCATCTCTCAATTATTTTCTAACACTTTATCTTCTGATCAGGTTTGTGTGGAGGAAACTCAGTGGAGAGGAAGATCTACATCCCTTTAAATAAAACAGCTCCTTGTGTCCGTCTGCTCAATGCCACTCATCAGATTGGCTGTCACTGTGAGTTGAGGTTGGGATTTCTGTTTGTAGCTGTTGATACTTTAGTCTGTGCCCTAGATGTAAAGATCTAAGTCCTGCTTGGGAGTCTAAGCACAAAATTAAGCTATGTGGGTGGGAGCTGGTAGCAAATCATTTGTCCAACCAGGCAAGATAATTAGGAAGAGCTAACATTTAGTAAATGCTGCGCACTACTTAAACATGCATCTCATTTAATTCTCATGATATAGCTACTATTATTTCACTTTACAAATGATGAAACTGACAAGTTGAGTAACTTTTCCAAGATCATCCGGCTATTAAGTGATGAAGCCAGGATTTGAGTTCTGGTGGTCCAGGTTCTAAGTCAGGACTCTTAACCACCCAGGAGGTTAAGTATAAAACTATGCTATTTTCTAAGGAGAAAGAAATTCCATATTTTGTCATCACTTGCACTCTGAATGATCTTTTTGGAACCAAAATGGCCTTTTAAAGGCAATGAACTATTTGGAGAGAAGGCATTGAGAAAGCCATATAAATTGCAAGAGGAATTAGTAAAGCATTTAGATTTGTCTTCAGGCTTTGTAAATGTGTTCCAAAACAGGGTACCATGACAACATGGTTATAAAACTATGAAAGTTTTATAGAAAAAATTGTGATCTAAAGGTTGAATCCCAGTTCCCCTTTTGCTTAACCTGCTATCTTCAGATTTTGTTCCTCTGTGGATAGTAAGTAGCTCTGTCAGATTGTATTTCAGGTAAGCAGGAAACAGAATCAGATCTTGGCTCCTTTGTCATCAAATTGGTCACCTCTGATTTCACTTTTATAAAAACAATTAGCATATATCTGCACAAAGCTGGTCAAACTACCTTTAGTAGATGTTTATTAATGATGCTGAGTAAGTAGTGTGCTTTCAACAGTATTGTGTGATTTCCTGAAACCTTCTGATTTGGTAGGAGAAAAACTGGAACACTGAGAAGGGAAGGACTTGCTTAAAGTGGTAGTTACTACTTTTCTACCCATCCTTCCCTGAGTTATACTCTGTGTTCACTGTCCCATGTCTGCTATAGGAGGTGCTGGGAGTAGGTTAACTGGTTCCAGACAGTTCCAAATAAAATTTTTGTTGGACTTAGTTCTTAAACTGGGTCTGTGGGTAGACGGGAGCCAGGTCCATTGTGGGCTGAGATCAGACTTCTGGTCTTGCTGGAACCCCACACTAGTACAAAAAGCTAGAAGCCTGTCTTCTTGGAGCTGACTTCCAAAATACCACCTTTGGGAATGAGTCATTCTGCTGCATATTCTTAGAGCAGCCCTGTGGGAAGCAGAGCAGTAGCCAAGTGCTAGTATTGAGAAACAAGCAGGGAGGGGCTGGACTCTGGCCACTTCCTCATTAAGGTCTTGTTTCCTTTTCAACCTATTCACTTATAAGCCTTCCTTCATCATATCTGAATATCTTTAATTAGGGTTGCTAGCATGATAAAATTAAAGAGAAATAGATCCAGTTTGATTTTCTAATTATAACGCTCTGTTTCTGTTTTACTGTTTTAAAGTGCTCAAAGCGCTTATGCATGTTTCTTTTAGTTCCTTCTTTTCTTTCCTTTTTTAATGTGTCCCCATAGTATGAGATAAATAGGGGTTGGAAAACTTCTTCTCATTGAAGGCCTGGAGAAAGTAAGCAAGTTACTTAAGATTACAGAGTCACTCAGTGGAACCCAGATTAGAATCCAGATTTTTTTGTTTGTTTCTTAAACATATCTTTATTGATTTCAGAGAGAGGAAAGGAGGGGGAGAGAGAGATAGAAACATCAACGATGAGAGAGTCATTGATCGGCTGCCTAGCCCGCAACCCGGGCATGTTCCCTGACCAGGAATTGAACCCTGATCGCCTGGATCCTAGGTCGATGCTCAACTGCTGAGCCACGCCCGGCCGGGCAGAATCCAGGTTTTTAAAGTTCAGTGTCATAGCTTGTCTTCTTCCTATCCTACTTGAAGTTATGTATGTTTTATTTGCCAGGCTAGCTGTTCATTTTCCCGTGTTTTAAATGCTATGGTAAGGACTGTTGTCTTTTGTTTTGACTTAAAACTTTTATTGGTAGGTTTAAAGTTCAGTGTCATAACTTTCTTTACCAAAGTTATTCCAGAGTCTTTTATTCTTCTATATTTCATTATTGTCACTATCAACATGAACTTAAGTGTTTACTATATTTAAGACATAGTTGAGTGTTGGGGACCAGCTCCCATGTCTAGATTTTATCAGACCCCGTGGGAGAAACATACTACCTGGCTGGCAATCTGAAAGCACTTATGGTTTTTGTCTCATTCAAGTTACAACATTTCAGTACCTTGGTCTATAGCCATAACTCTCATTCCTGACTGTGTATAATAAAGAACCACATGTGGTATGTTTTGAAAATACACATACCTGGGCCTCACCTTTAGAGATTTTAATTTAGTAGATTTGAGGTAAGGCCCAAGTATCTGTATTTTTTTAAAACTTCAAAGTGATTCTGATACACAGCAAGGGTTGAGAACTACTGCTCTAAAACAATTTATGAATAACATCCAATTTTCATTGAGGAGAAGACTCATGGGGAGACCCTACGATGTCTCTATGTGGATCACTAGGAACCTAAGGGGTACTGCTACATAGAACTCAAGGCATTCTGGACTTTGGGTCATCCTTTCTCTATTTCATTGCTTTCCAATCTTTGTCATGTCATGAGACATATAGAAAATGTCATTCTGGCACGTATAGAAATGGATATTTATAGGGCATCCTGGGGTAATGGGTGAGTCCGCTCCTGCCTGGGGGTAACCTTTGGAAACCCTAGGTCCCCAGAAATGAGAGGAATCAATATCAGCACATCTCTAATCCACTTAAGACCCATCAGTTGGGAAGCTGTTCTAGAGACCTCAGAGTTCATGATGAACTTTACCTAAAACTGGCCAAAAGCTACCCTCAAATAGGGCAAAGGAATGAAGATCTAGGGAAGCTACTGCAGCCGATGGAATCTGCACATGTGTTTTCACAGAGGAAGATTCAGTGGTAGAACAATGAGCTAGAGATTTAGAGGCCCCCGTTTTCTGGAGAAAATACAGGTTTGAGCACTCTGTGCCTGCTGACCTAGGGTCTTGTATGTGTAGCTGAGTGAGGTAGGGGCAGAGGGCAAGGACATGCAGAGCCCTCCTGACCTTTGGTGAGTGGCCTCCTCCCCTGAATGGGCCTCTCGGGCTCTTGTCCTCCATCCCCTGTGGTCCTCGGGTGGAGCAGGCCTTTCTGCGCTTTCGTTCAAGCCTACATGTGGCTGTATTAACCCAAATGTCTTGTGACGCGTTTGCGGGTAGATGACCTGCAGAGTCAGCGAGGCAGAGTCAGAATCGGCAACTGTGGGAGCTTTAATTTGACCCATTCTGTCCTGGCAGCTTCCATTAGCGGGGACACGGGGGTCATCCACGTAGTGGAGAGAGAAGAGGACCTGCAGTGGGTGTTGACTGATGGCCCCAACCCCCCTTACGTGGTTCTGCTGGAGGGCACTCTGTTTACCAGGTAAAAACTGTGTGCATCTGCTGAAGACTGCATGCAGAGGGGAAAATTCATGCAACAGTCCTCACACTTGGGAGTGAAAACTTTCCTTGGCTTCCCTGGTCTGATCAGGCCCGGGGGTGGTTTGCTCCTCACAAGGAAAGATGCACCATCAAAAGGAATTATCTCGGTGACCTTCTAGATAGAACTCTAGTGAGTAAGGACCCCAGGGAGGAAGGAGGGGTGCACAGGGTCACTCAAACCCAGGGTAGGTGAGATTAAGCACTGGGCTCAGGTTGAGTCATAGTCCTCTCAGAAGTCAGAGACTGGAAAGGCGAGAAGGGAGTCAACAGTTTGATTCCCCTAGGTCCCCGTTAGTTTCCATCCTTGGGGACAGGCTACTGGGCTGCCTGATCACCTTCCTGTCTTCCTTCATGTCATTCCCTCCCTGTTCTAGGAAGGTGATGGAGAAGCTGAAGGGGAGCACCAGTCGAATTGCTGGTCTTGCAGTGTCCTTGGCCAAGCCCAGTCCCGCCTCAGGCTTTTCTCCTAGCGTGCAGTGTCCCAATGACAGGTTTGGTAAGAGCCCCAAACGATCTGCAGAGCCTGCTATCACCCAGAGCTCATTGTTATATAAGTCTCATGTCTTTGGGGGGGGGG